TTCTAGAATTCGGCCTAGAGTGTAAATGTGGTTGATACGACCAGTCTGGTTTTTACGCATGCCTCGTTCATGTGTGGCAGGCAGTCGAAGGAGCATGATACCGGTGATGAACTTAAAAACAATTTTTAGTCAAACTAATTCCTGTGTTATCGTGAGAAAATCTGTCAAATTTCTTGTAAATCGGTAAGTTGGTCGACTCACGCGATTCATTGGGGACCCTTACATTGTCGCATGTTAAACAAATGAGTTTCAACAATTCCAATAGCAAGATCTCTATCCCTAAAAGCCGATGGGAACAACTCAACTACACCTGAAACCTTACACCCTTTGAGATATTTTATTTCCCTGGAAGTCTCCATTTCATATGGTGGTTTGACAACAATTAGCAGTAGTTGCGTAGTTAAGGTTGGGTTTGGCAGTTCTAATGCCGATGACGGCAGGTTAAACTGTGCCTTAAAATGTTCAACCCATCACTCAAGTAAAGAATGCTGAAATATGAACCAATGTGCCCTCGGATTTTTTGACTACCTAAATTACGTCTATTTTCCTTCGATTCGTACTCCAAATCAGACACAAACGATTGTTACCATCGCTCTACGTTTTGCAATCTTCCACTTCTTGCATTTATTCTTCAGGCTTTTGATGAGCTAGCGTTTTAGAGATTTATGCGCTGTATGAAATTTTGCACCATGAGGAACGTTCCTTCAGACATCCAGCGATGCAGCCTAGTTCGAAGAGTTGCATCGTTTAGGCTGTCATCGTGTACCCGAATTCACTGTTGCTTTGATCGACATTTGGATAGTTTCGTTGATGAGCATTCAGTTTTCATTGAGCCCTTCTGTGCTTGGTTGAAAGAAGAAGGCTCGTCTTCGAATACCGTTTTTCAACTTTCACCTATATTTTGTTTGATTACAAAGTGTAGGGAAAATCCGGTGTTTTACCAGTGAGAGCAGTAGACTTCGATGGATCCCCACCGGCGGTAGCTGATGGTAATGTTGTCCATTTGAGTCTATCGCTGTGAACAGGTCTGCAGTTTTCAAGCAAAGCAGTGTCGTTTCTTGTGCGAGAAGCTGATGCTTATTAGGAACAATCTGCGGTTGGTGCATAGATGAAGTTGGCGATCTTCGGTATCCGTCCGATTGGCTGCGATTGCATGCGGCCTTTTCGGTATCTTTATGATTCATCCAGAGATCCCATTAGAGCGCTAAACCTTTTAGTACCTACCACGTTGTCTGTTGATTGAACATTACAGGGCAGTTGAAAAATATCCTTACAGAGTTCGTCCTTTATTTCCGATGCACTGCAATCGGTCGGGGCCTAAACGGATACGACGAATAAGACCTGAAATTCCATTCTGCAGCTGTTGACCCGTGCTGAATCATGCAGATCTACACGGCACACAATCGTCCATTGAATGTAATCCAGTCTAGAAGCGAGCGCTGAGTTTTGACAACTATCACAATCCGGACTTAGGCAATAACAAGAGCATCAGATATTCAATGATCGACATACGGAGAGCGAAGTGTGAGGATGAGGTTTGGTCAGGAGAACGCAAGGTTATAATTGAAATCGGTCCTTGAATGCGTGTTTCGGAGACAGTATACATCTTCAAGGGCTATAGCTAAAAGCAGTTTTTGAGAACAATGTGCGGACATTGAACTCAGCTGATGGAAAAAGACATTTTGGCTTCAACAATCCTACAACTGAAAACGTTGATTTCTGTCATAAATTTGAATATAGCAACCAGAAGCAGGGGTTTTAGCTGTATCCGTGGTAATTTCACTGCATCAGAATGCATGCCTATCTCTGTCAATGTGATTTGTATAGTCAATGAAATAAAAACCGTAATACAAAGAAACGATTACCAACTACGATGGACAACACGATACAACAACATGAAAATCAAACGAAGGTGGAGGTTAATTACCAAGACAAAGCTGATATGACCAACTATTCACGTTGTTCGCATCGATTAGCATTGTGATTTCTTGAACGCCTATAAGAAAGGCTAAAGGAGGATAATTCAAAACTAAATCAATACTGTCGCTATGTTGATGACATCTTCCTTATAAGAAACATCAAGGAAGACATCGATTCAAAAAAATTCACCACAATATCAAGATAACCCTTCAAGACGAACGAAACGACCACATCCAGTACACATTACCTGCCAACTGGATGGATCAATTAAAAAGCTATCTCCTGATCGAACACGTAGCCTGGGCAACATTTGCATTTCATGAGCTTCGCCCCGTGCGATATAAAATTGGCCTCCTTCGTACACTGTTTCACGGAGCGCGCAAAATCTGTGCAGATTGCTCTTTAAACAGTGAAGGTTATTTCTAAAACATAGTGCCACAAGCAAACGGACGTCCAGGTGCACTCACTTCCAGACACTGTAGAGTAACACCAAAGGTTGAAAAAAACCAATCCCAAAATGAATAACTCGCAGGGTTATGGAGGAACACCACGTCAAAGGTACCTGACCAACGATATCAGCAATATCATGGCCTTCAGAATTTAACATGAACTATAAATGGCGTATATTCACCGAATCCTTTGAGCTTCATAGATGGGACTGTAGGATTAGTAATCCAAGGTCATAACTACGTTCAAGCGCTTCTAATGATTTTCAGCAGCGACAGGAGTGATAAAACTGTACGAGAAATTCATTTTTTTATAAAGCCATTCACATTCTTATGCAGTGGTTTTGTACGCAGCCGATTTGGATCAATAAATAAAGGAAGCAATAAAATGTTTGAAACTATATCAAAGCGAAAACAGAGAGATTCAAATAGATCACGTTTGCGAAGATGTTCATCCATAACAAATGAATTTCACATAATAAGTACAAAACAAGGCAGAATCGTTTAATGTGAGTATATCCGACAAGTAAAGTTTGAAAACCTCCACTTTTCCAAGCAACGGGAATGATCGAACCACATACTGGACTCACTCACGATCATGCCAAGACAACAGTCTGGATCACGAGATACACCTGCTGCCAGTGCAGCGACCGTATCATTCAAAATACAACAAATTCGAATTTTTAATCCCTGAAAAAAGTAGTCACAACATTTCGTGCACATTTTGCACGCAACACTTACCAATTTGTCAATGGCATTCTGTAAGAATCCACCCACTTCCTTTCCGATCACCGAAGGCAGAGAAAATTCTTTCGTGAACGTAAGTGAAATTGCACTGGTGAGACTTGTCATTTCCACGGGAAAATTAAAAGCGAATGCCATCTGATATGACTCGTTCTCCAAATTTCGATCTTGTAGAAAATCTTTCAGTGTGTCTGCAATATAGCCAAATACCTGTATTTCACCAACACAAAAGGAAGCAAACAGAGTGCGGCGAGAGAAAGAATCCGTGAGATTGTATCATGTCTCACCTCGTGTGCTGTATTGCCACGAATGTTTTTTGGTATGGTATACAACGTCTCATCCGCTTCGGTATTCTCCAGATCTAAAGAAACTTTCATCAGCACCACTCTGTAGTATTTGCCCTTGAAATCCAATATGANTTCCCGGTGCTAAAAAGCAAGGTTGCTTAGCCTCTATCTCGCTCCGTTGGGTTAGACCACAATTGCGAATAGCGTTCACTCACTTTTGTGCGAAGATATTTTTGTGACAAATGTGTTGTACAGCACGAGGCCTTTTCTCGATTCGGCCTGTTCGACCCCGAGACCGATGTCGATTTCATGGTTCAAGATATCAATGAATTCAATGCACCTATCCTTGCTCAAATGGAATGGTTCACAAAGTTGTCTTATCTATTCGGGCGATGGGTGAATACAAATTAGCCAGTTGAACAGACCTTCGGGCTGACTTCATCGAAAAAATTTCCTGGAACGTTCGATCCTCTGTACGGGAAAGAGAAAGCCTATTCATTTTATAAAGCGACCTTGCCTGTTCAAAGATAATCGACTGCACCAATCGAGTAAAGAAGTAAACCAAAATGGCAACTCACTACTTATCTGTCATCCAGGGAAGCAAGAAACGAAACTGTTGTAATACACTAAAAGCAAATGAAAACGTTAGGTCCGATGTTGGGATTATAACACGACTTCCTCATTCCCAACCGACACTTCTTGACCGATTGAACATCGCAACCCATAGTAAAAACAATACCAAGAGCAATCGTAAAACAACATTAAGGGGAAAACATATCTGGAGCTTAATTGTTTATTTTGCGGGTAATAACCATCGTTGTGTAAATATTCTTAGCTACTTAGCAACAATGGTGGAATAACTGTTTTGCGCTCAGAGATGATTGACTAACTGACACGGCGACGATCTCTTTGATCATACCGTGGAAAACGAGAATGCGAGGAAGCGTTTTGCAGGTAAACAACTGTTTGAAGGACGGCTGAGATTGCATTAGTTAAGTAAAAACCTGGGAGAGAGATGTGTGTACTATTCACGTGAGTGAAACACCAGGATATTCCAAATATTATAACTTTGTGAAGCACGAATAGTAGTGGTGAGAGTGGGAACACATTCGAAAAGTAGAGAGAAGTAAATTGAAAATGGAAAGAAAGTTAGATTTTCATAGAAATAAAATTGCCGTTAAGCACCGATATATGTCTCCTTTCGATTGAAATAAAGGTTCTATTTGGCCCCTGAGGATTTCATGAAAAGTTCCCCAATATAAAAGCTGGCAACAATGCTGAAAATAGTATTGCCTTTACTGCATTCCTAACATAAATTCGAGGTAAACTAGATGTCCTACTTGTTGATCAGAATACCAGTCATCGGAGTTCATATAAAGCAAAACTATATCAGTGCAAAGCTTAAAACATCGTATGAGCTAGATCGGTAGCCCTGAGACATCGTCTACGTGCATTCTTCTTCAGCTTAATGCTTTAATAAGCCATCATGTTCACTAAATCACATTATACATGATTGTCAGCAGATAAGTATGAATGGTTAGATATAAAATTACGCATAAATTTTTCACTGGGTAGCAGAATCTGCTTCACTCACCTCCTAGACTGTTACACATGTACTCCACGGAATGCAATGGAAAGAATCATGTGCTTTGAAATTAGTTAAGTATTTCATCGATCGGTTTGAACCCAAAACCAATGGGTGTCTGTTCTCGTATAACGAAAGTAGTTCACAGCTATTTCAGCGGTGATCTTGAAGTTATTCGATATTAATGGCTTTTGAAGACCATCTAACGGGTCTATCGAGGATATTCCAATCACTTCAGGAAACCACACCGATATATGCACAACTCCATGAACTCCATCTTTACTAAGTGATTTCACTTCATAGTTCAGATAACAGTCCACATTGGTCTCAATGAAATTAACCAAGTGACTTTCAACCACCGTATATTCGAAGCTCTATTCTGAACGATACTACTGTGTTAAGAAAACTCAATCTGATGAAAGAACTTAAGAATGTCGGACAACGTTTGAATTAACTATGTTTGTCATTAGCCTACCGACCATTACGTGGGTGGAGCATAGGAGAATCACTATTTTCCAGTTTTCTTCGCAAGTCCGAAACGAAAACCAGAGCTATTTTGCATTACAGAATTCCTTTTCTGTTTGATTAGGTCTCGTCAAAACAGCATTATATACACATATATGCACCAAATGATCTTTATTTTTCAGTACACAATTATGAATATATTTCGACCAATCGTTTGAGGTAACGTGCAGTAGTAGTTGCAAGTTTTTGAGAAGATTGAACAAGGAGAAATCAATTCCAGAATGGTAGCCAATACAATCACTATTCAAAAACCTTAGCACTAGGAACGTTTGTGAAGCGGGAACTGACGCCAAAATTTGAGTCTTTAATTCTGATCACCAATTCTTGGAGATTCTTTATTGTGTGATTGATTAGTTGTACTCTCACGGGTTCCAGCCGCAAAGCCATGGTAAGGAGAGTCACACATGTCTGGGATCAGTCGGAGAGGCACTCTATCTTTGTGTATCTTTGGTAAGCCTTAGAGTCTTAGAATCATCGTTCCTGTTGTTTGTAGATGTTCAACTGTTTGCAACATCTATTACATCCCCCTGCTTTAGGCACCAGAGCGATTTCAATAGTAATTCTTCCATTTATTCCATTTTATCCTGCTCTCCGGCTCTTTTCTGAGGTTTCTTGGCGTCACTGAGGTTGTTGTTAATCTTACTGACGTAGGCTGATCCATTAATATGGATTGTTCCTGCACGTTTATGTGGCCTTCACAGAATAACAAACATTTCCGTTTCCCCTCGACCCCTTGAACCGTGCCCGGTTTTGTGCGGTTATTAATCTTTTGTCAGTGGTATACTCTGGAGGAGTTTATGGCATGTGTTGACTAAAGTTGATTTCAGGTCTCTCACATAAAATGACGATCGGGGAACCAAAGCTGGCATTCGGGAATAAAGATCCTCAAACTCTATCTCCACCGTCTAGTACCACAATAAAATTTGGGTCCAAGTGGAAGCACTTCAAGCAATTTCTCATCCAATCTTACAGTTGAAAAATTATGAACGTACTTCCCGGGGTTTTGTTGAATCGATCTTTTACTTTAGTGTTTGACGTTCACGTTCCACATCACTATTGAAGTGTGATGCACTCAAACGAGTTAAAAGTCATTCATGCCACTGACCTCCACTAAAGGATTGGCAATCGTGGACTGGATCACGTAAGCGCTGGATCGCACTGGCACTGGTACTCAATCTCCCACGTAACTGAGACACGCGAAAAAGGCCTCAATGATGGTAGTTAACTTATTGAGAGAAGTGAAGGGGATTGCATAATGTGTACAAAGTAGACCCCTTGGTTATCCGGGTTTCTAGCAATCGCGTTCCAGTATTGCCTGCAGCGTTCTGCTTCTGTCTGGACCGCACGGTCTCTGATTGGCTGATACGATCTACCTATGGTGTGTAGTCAGAAGCAGTGACACGTACGCGCGTTGTTCACGTCATGATTGATCACAACTATCCGAAAACTGTAACGCGTCGGTCCAGGGTAGGCGTCATCTCGTAGACCCGGATCACTACAGACCATCAGAATCCCAAATGGAAATCTGATCAACCCTCTGTATCAGCTTGCCAATCTCCCTGCACAGTCTAGTCTGCTCCGAAGTTTACCATGATAAGACAAAGGCTGTCCAGACATTTGTAGAATGTGTCGCATATCGGACGACATAGTCAAATTATCTTACTTAAATTTTCTGAGAGGATTCTCACAGATCCTGACCACCCATCGTACGCAAAACTGACACGTTGACACGTCCTCATTATTCAACACGCTCCGTCAAATTTCATCTCGAATTAACGCTTACCGCAAATCACCTACACCGTATCTTGTTCGTCTACTCATAAACAAAGAGCGTACACTAAGTGAACTTTGTCTTAACCTTGGATTACGAAATGTCCCCATGTCTGTAGAAACTTTGTTTGATTAAGTACATTGTGACGGTTCGCGTGTATGATTTTTAACTGCAATGTGAGCTCCAGTGCTTGCAGAAGTTGTACACAATACAATGTATGTACAATAAAATACAATGTTGATATTCGAAATCTATTATTGAAACCTAAATGTAAGAGAGCTACAGATGTCGCTAAAATACACATGCAAAACTGGGACGCAGTGACATAAATCCTCTTCGGTACATTCTGGATCATTATCTTAACATTTTATTATTCACTGGAAAATACCACTTTTGTGTCCCTCCCTGGACTCGGGCGGCGAAATTTCTGATTACAAATCAAAACCCTTAGGCCTGAACCTTACGATCAACGATCATCAACTTGAACGTAGGAGTAAGCAAACTAAATTAGAAGTAAGTTTTACATGGAACGTGTTAGTTGATATGGGTTTGTCTGTTTCGTGCACATAGGTTGAATGAAAACGAACACGAGGAAACTTCTCCGCAGTGGCCGAAATTTCCAGATGCAATGATAGGCATGCATAAGGCGCTATGGACTAGGGTCAGGGGAAGTGGTTATTTTTCCCATGCACCTTAGCCGGTCCACATTGACATCTGAGCTACTACTTAAACCACTTAAAACAAGCGAATACCCCCAGTTGATGGCAGTACATCAGTTCAGTTCAGCTCTGTTCTTACAACCATTATCCATACACGTTCGTGCGCCGGTTTTATTTGCTGTCTCTTGGTTGCCCATTTGGATAAAACAGCAGAATGATGATGATGTTGTATGCGCGCCGACACTTCATCCGTGATGTGTCCGCCAGGTGAAATATTGCTGCAGGATAGCAAAACTTGTCTACTTTCTCTACGACTTCCCCGAACAAGGTGAGGTTGGGGACTGGGCCAACCCAATCTTGGGGCAGCATTTTACACTTTGAAGGTGCAAAACGCATACCGAATATGGCTACGCTAGCTCTCAAACTATCCGAAAATGGTTGCAACCTACCTGGATATTCATTTAATGGCACAATGTCGTCTGCATACTCTAGATCTGACAGTCTGCCACCCGGGGGTAAATCGTTTCCACTATCCTCGCAATAAAATAGGGCTGTTTCAAGAATTGAATCTATGACAAAGTTAAATAGAGACGGAGAGAGGGAGAGAGCAACCCTGTCGAACACCACTTTCCGTAGTGAACTCGGGTGAAAAAGTGCCGTAAGCTCGGACTCGGTTTCGGCTATTATTATAGAGGGATTGTAATATTGAAACAAAATTCCTGGGCACATCCTTCAGGGAAAGGCAGTGCCAGAGTTTAGAGCGGTGGACCAAGCCGCTTTCAGGTAGAGGAAGATGGAAATGCTGGGTCTACGAAAAGAGTGTGTGTTCTAGGATTTGACGGAGTGCAGATGCGGTCGATACAACCTCGACCAGGTCTAAAACCAGCCTGTCCAGTCCATGATCTGAAATGGAGGCTGTCAAGGAAGAAGTTACCTCGAAAGGCACCAGGCTTGTTGCCCACAAGGGCCTTCCTCAACGGTTTTTAATGCAAACGTTCCGCGTTAGTCTTGTTACTAAAACACTTGGGCTCAATATCAGCAATCCTTTTCGAAGAAGGGAGCCCATCAGAGCTTCGCGGTCAACTGAGTCGAAGGCTCCTTTCAGGTCGAGAATACTACAATCGTTGGTCGATGGTGGATGTGACGCACCTCGAGGACCTGACACAACGTGAAGAATTGATCAATAAGTCCACGACCAGGCAGAAATCTGGCTTGCTGTTCACGGATGTGGGTCTCTCTTAAAGGAGTCAGACGTCAAAGCATGATCAAAGCCAGCACTTTGGTGACGATTATTATCAAACTTATCCCGTGATGGTTTTTGAAATCGTTGCGAGATCCTTTCTTGAAAATGGGAACGATCAGTGATTCGCCCGATGATGAAGGAATGTCCTTTTGCGTCCATATATTGCGCATCTTTAAACGAGTGGGAGCTCATCCGGTCTTTCTATCTTTCCTCGCTCCAGAGCTTGAATGCAAGACCGAAGATTTGCTTCTGCTGGAGGATCGCATGACACTGCCCACGGAGCTTCAGTTGCAGATGAGGTAACCACCTGGTTAGCGTCAGGCAGACTGAACTGTTCGCTGAATTATTCCACCCAGCGATGAAGTCATTCATTCCTATCGCAGACTGTTTCAATACCTGGAGTTCGCGTATCAGTCGGGAGAGTCTTTGATTATTGGTAGTTCCACTAGTTCTACTAGCAGTTCACTGTGGAGGAAGGCTAAAAGCCCAGCCTGCAAAAGAACTAACAATTAGCTTACGAAACAAACATGCACACCTTTTATCATGACGGTATTAGCCACGGGTTTCATTCGGTACTGAGGTGATTTTGAGGGCACCTTGAACGTTTAACCTCGTCCACATTGCGATGAACTGGATCCCAGGGAATATATATATATAATGTTTAGGACTGAAGACAAGAACCAAATGTGAGAAAACCAATTCAAAGCAGACCAGTTATCGATTTATAAACTTCATTTAGGAGTGGGGAAAATATTGACGAAAAAGGTAATCAGTATGTTTCAAGTCAGTCGAGGAAAAAAGTAACAAGAGAATGATGAAGCTGATTTGAGAATTCAAGCGGGAAAAGAGAGCGATTTCAAAGTGCGTCAGATTTGACGACCAGAGTTTTCAAACCCACTTCACTGGACTCTCTCAGAAAGCAGTAAGACGTGTGGGCTAATTTATTCACTAAGCCAAAGCCTCAATTTGAGAAGCAAGTCTCTCGACCGAGACAAACAGAATTTAAACCCTCAATATCAGCAGGCACCACTAAGTTAGACGATTTCCCCGCAGCCGGTTGTAAAATTGTCCATATTTATGTTCTAAAATAACTTAAAATGAATAACTAGAGCTTCGTTCGCCACTCACACTAGAATACTTTCGCTCTTCAGAGATGTGCTAGTGAAATAAATCCCGCTTCTGAATAGAAAATAGGGAACCCATGCACTTCTATCGGCCCACGGGATCTTTGATTTGAACAACTCAATGAATTAAGCGCAATAGCATATTTTCTGGGCAAAGATGTTCTGCTCACGAACTTACTCCCTACCGCTTGTTCTCAGTGAAGTAGGTACTAACGAAGAACGCATATTGAAATACTCTTTGACGTGATCTCTAGAATAGAACGGCTTTCAACGCAAAGAACAAACCAGAAAACACCGAAAATCGTAACAGAAATGTGCTACTAGTTTCCAATGGTTTTGAAGAAGTTTATGGGACTCTGTGGATTACATTTATTGAAGTGAACCGAACTTCAAGGGCCGAGGTTCGAACCATACCATAAACACTTCTGTGTGGTTTCAAATCACACCTTGTCATCTAAGCCAGACGTTGTGTAGTTTTCCACTCCAAATCCGTGAGATGGGGTTGCCAATTGCGATCAGAAAACAGTACATCCTCGAAAGTGAAGACTCTTCCCTTCCCACGGCACGCTTCAATCCACCTTCTGACGAAATCTTTGAGACTAGGATCAGGCTGAACTCCCTACGACTGCCACAGATTGTGCGTAAAACGTTTCTTTGAAGATCGGGATAACAATTGAATTGCTCGACTCTGACGGGAATCTACTCTCAGACCTCGCAGCACAGATTGTGCATTCCACTCATCCACCTATACCCCTCATCTTTAAAGACGACCAATGGTAGATTGTGTCAACCCAGAGATTTGTGACCTTTGAGAGGGCATAGGTTTTCCTTAACCTCGACTTTATTCAGATTATGGCGAGACCGACCACGTGGCGGGGACGTTTTTCCAACTGAAATGAGATTTGAAATGTTCAACCCAGCGCAACAGGCAGTGATGAAGTCAGTCAATTAGCATAAATAGGCAAAATGAATCATTTACCTGAACATGTACTGTGTGAAAACAGTGACTCATACACAATAGAGAAGTGCTCCCGGAAAAAACGCTATAACCCCTAAACGGTTTACAAACACATTCGATCAAACAATATGACCGGTTTTATAATCACAGAAGGGGGCATTGATAGTCTCACTACTAGTAAATATTTCGCCACATTACAGGTGATTTTATCCCAAAATAGACACAACATCAGATCTTCTGGATCTGATAATATTCGTCTTGCTACCCACTTACATTCACTGTTCCTCGAACAACGTCTAATTTGTCAGATTTATACAGCCGAGCTCGAGACTAGGTTGTCCGAATTGACTTACATTAACCATCATTACCACTAAATACTGCTCACCAAGAGATCAATTCGATAAGCGAACCGGTGTATTGCAATCCAAGAGGAGAGAGAGTGAAGTAGTGGATCACGAACAATCAGTGTGTACATAGCACTGCGTTTGGTACGTGTTGGATTTTATCTCCTCCGTCAATGACGGCTGAGTAACAAACAATATGTGTGGCAACCCAACTGGCAAACAGAAATCTGGGGAAGGGGGATATGACAGCACCCAGGACCTCATCGTGGTCCTCTACTACGAAGAACACGAAAAACGTGTCAGATTCCAAACGGATTCGACTACAATGAAGAAACGAAACGTAAGCGGAGCGCTTGTGCTTTTCCGTCAGGTAAAAAACGGAAAACTGGTGTTCCAAAGGTAATTGATCGAGGTTGTCATACATGATTTACGGAATCAAATGGCGCTCATTGTTGCCCAACACCGGGTATCACTATGCCCCGGAGCAAGATTCAATTATCAGCTTTTGTTTCTCCTTTAAAAGAGTGTCATATTCATTTTGACTGAATATCTGGCAAGCTTCACTGCCGTTTACAATCTTGGGTTTATCCAATCGAGCATATTTCACTAAATGCATTGAAGACTGTGTGAAGGTTAAGCCTGAAAGTCGGTCAGCCAAAATGTATCCTAATTGATTCCACACCGCCAGTTATAAGTAACGAGTTATTTTTTTAAACTGCAATTCAGAAGCGATAAAAACGATTGCAAATATGTCTAAATGCGGATCCTAGTGCTGTCGACCACAGGACCGAATAGAGTAGCCCGGAGTTTACTCACACAACAAATGATAGGTTGGCTTAGGCTAAATATGAAGTAAAAGGGGCAGATGTGGCTTAAGTTTTCAGTATTTTGACTATGTGAAGTGCAACATTAAAAACCGAGCAAATGAGTTCACTCTGTGATTGATCAGAATGGATATGTAACCTCATTTAGAGAGACGATTAAACAAATCGATCTTTTTGAACAGTGCTATCTCTATGCTGGACTCACTGTCACCAGTTGACCAAATATCCCAAATGGTATGGATGGTACATCACAAAGCATTATCCGCCTGGGATATAAAACCACCTTGTTGAAGCTGCAAACGGGATTAGAAGAAGGGAAGAGATTACAGACCCATTTTACCTGGATATCCAGATCTGAGAAACGGAAAGATATGCCGTTTGATACTATCTGTCAGTTGAACGATTCGGGTTTACGTCATCCTCTCACCAACTCCCACCGAACGATTGCATATACCAGTAAGAACCTTCACGTGATGAAGCGTGAATAGGTATGGTTTACAAAAGACAAAACAGCTTCGAGCAGACCAACAGCTAACAACGCCCATAACCAGGGTAAACAGACAGGAACAACAAATTGTTTCATAAGCTTTGCTTTTCAAGAACCTAGTCTGTACAAAGCATCCAAGTTGTAGGTGAGATAAAGTAAAGAAAACAAAAGCAGAATGAGTTCGCATTCAGATCAACCCCGGGGAGTACCCCGAAAACCGCGTCTTGGACCCGGTCCCCGGCCTCGACCGCCTCCAGAACCAGAGCTGCCACCTCGCGACCGGGATCCTCGATATCCGGAACGCCCACGACCCCGATAGCCCCGATGACCACCAAACCCATGAGCCGATTCAACATCACCATCCCCGAACGGAGTATGGGTCGCTGAGCTAGGTCCGGTCGAATTGATGTTGTAGACACGAGCGCGCTCAGCCGGAGCATGTGGTACCATATCAAGGGTAATCTGAACACAAAAGTGGTGAGAGTTCACATAACTATTGGATAAACTAATTTCGTTGTCATAGGACAAGTTGATAATGATAAGTGGAAAGCCCAAAAGAAGCGACACTTTGCAATACGTTATCTTTTTAACTTCTAATCACTGTAGTAGTTCAAAATTGTCACCAGAGTGGCAGTCGTTCACTGCCTCTTTCGAGTGTAACTAGCAGACCAAGTAAACAATATCACTTCGGTGTGTTGTCGTGAGAACCAACCATTACTGGCGGCGGGAAATCAAACAAAATCGGGTATGCATCTAACACAAATGAAGATCACACAGATACCAAGTAGTGGGTTAAGTACAGCCGTGGATACACTATATGCAGGATGTCCCAACAAAATGATATAAATCAAGCAAGGCCAGACCACGTCTACAAGAGAAACCAGTTGTTGAGTATGAATGGCAACTACAGTGAAAACAATTGTTGTTCCTGAAAACGTTAGTCGGAGCATGCTCAGAGTTAGAATGGGAGTTACAAAAACCATTTCACTTTAATGCAGTAACCATAGCTCAGTCGGAAATAAGAAATTCACCAGGGCTTTAGGGAAAGTTGAACACCAGAAAACAGAAACCCAACGGGACGATTCACATTGTGTTTCTGTCCCATGTGTACGGAATTACCCGCACTTGGAGTTCTCTAGGATCTCAGGTAATGATGTGATTCAAAACAACCGGAGGCCTTTAAAATGCTGGATGCAACAGAAAATATATATAATGACTAGCAATAAACGTTTGGCATCAGAACAAGATTTTCGAAAGACAGTGACGCATTTTCACAGCAGTACTCGAGACAAAACCTTGGTGATTGTGACTGATTTTGGTGTCTTAATTATATTGTACATTTCTTAAGATGCTATTCCACTGATAGCCGGAAATGGAGAAGTCTCACAGTGAACTTCAGTTAGTATTCCTCAATGCGGTACACTACCATTACTTCCACTTTCCACGAGTTTATCAATAATGCTAATATTTTCCATTTCCTGATTTTGCTTCCAGCTTATTGAACTGGTTCCTACTTGAGCGTCATATGAGGGATAAAAAACCGGATGATTGTAAGCCACATGTATACACAAGAACTTCCGGATTCGTTTTTACCTAGGGACGTACATTCAAGGACCGGACGAACGTGTTCTTAACAACAGCAATGAATGGAACAGGAATATCAACCCGGAGAAATGTGCTGGAAAGTAATAGAGAAGCACTGGGAGAGGTTCTAGAACATTACCGGGATGTAAAGAGCTTGAAATCTACAGTTTCCCCAGAGCTGTTCGGGTGCTCGCGCTTTTTATTGCAGCAAACTACGAGGCAGAAAGATCAAACACCATGGCAGACATGGTGGTTCAGCGATTTAAGTTGCTGTCACTAAAGTGCTCACAGCCCTGAGGTTCGAGGTTGCTAATAGTCTCCCACTGATCAGTTGGAAAATTTACTTTTCTGGCGACCTCTTTCGCCTATCGGATCTTCTCTTCAAGTATAAGAGATAACTAAAACCAACGACCGAAGTAAGTAAGAGCAAGAATAGGTCAGATTTCATTGTAGTGTTTTTTCTAGCAGTAAAGGTAGCAGAAATTCGCTGCTTTGTTTAACCATGTCAACCATGTTGATAAAATGTGAAATAATAGGCCTTAGAGTGAGTGTGGGCACAGTGATGGTTCATGTAGTGGACATCATCCGGTTAGAACAGTCATGGATGAATCAGATTATTATATGTCTCATGGTCACAGTGCTCTAAGACCATGGTAACAGTCAGGTTGTAACACACAGTTGTTGACTCACACCAGTGGTCGGTTGGCAATCACTTTAGCTGGCGACAAGATTTCTTTCTCATACCTTTTGATCAGGCTAGACGGCCGATCAGCTTGAATGAACCCTTTGGCGTCAGTTGGTGACCTGTGTCGAGTGTGTGTGGCAGAGAATAGGACTGGCCGCATTTTCATTGATTCCCAGCGATAAACACACTGGAAACACGCAAAAAATGAAACATATCGACTGAGCAGTTTAGCTTTGAGTGGCCAGCGCAGCATGGGCTTCATCATCATCGTACAGCGGAATACAGCGAAATCAAATTCACTGATTGTGGCTAAGCTCATGCTGTATACATAAGGTAAGTGAGAATGTGCAAAATGGATAGGGATTGGAGGGAAAGTGACCCCCTAAGGTGAACAAACAGAGTGCACAATCTAGCTGTGTATACATACCTCTTGAAGCAATTTGCTTTGATAAAAAGTAAAAAGAAGAACAACACTGCTATCGGTCCATTTTAATGCCCTTCAGTGTCCTCAGCCACCCAGTTACTGATTATTTTGGATGTCGAATGGGATGACGAGAGAAATCTAATACAGCCCGTGTCTCATATCTACATCCTCTTTTGACCTCAACGGGATTTTCCCCAACCCGGAGTGGCGACTGCAAATCAGACACGGAGTTTGACACCTCAGTACGTTTTAGCAATCGCGAAGGATAGTCAATGAATCAGTGTTTCGACTAACGTATCCCTTTTGAGCTCAACCCTCGTGTTAGCTCGTGTTTTCCAGGACGGGAAAACATTGGAATCTTGACAAAGTACTGATGGTTCGGGTGAACTGAATATATTTAGGCGAATTTGGCAAATGTGTTTAAACGTTCCAGTTGAAATCTTCGGTGCTTGCGGAATGGCTTGTGACACTGAAGATGTCTCATTGACCGGTGAAAAAACGTTAGCAGACAAATTTTCAAGCTCTGCGAACAATCGAGAATGAAGAAACACAAAAGAACGTTCCAGTTGGAATGGAACTGATATACTGATAAAGCAATGCAAACGATAGTACAAAGTTTTGGATGCAATATTCAGTCTGTCGTCATCGATTCCGGAAATTCCCATTTCGGTTCCACAAACCAACGGAAGGAGGACCTTGTCCCCATCCTTATCTATACTAGCAGGCAGCAAGTAAAAAAATCATTACTTACCCTTTCTTTATTCAAAGTTCGTATCAGACTCAGAGGGACCAGCTCTTCCTCCTCTTCGCGACGTCCATCGTCAAGATGCCGCGTGTACACAACCAGAACAACTTTATCCCCGCCTCCAGCACCGGTGCCCGGGAATGTCAACTGACCGAGCATCACTGCCTCCTCGTAGTCCCCGGTCATATTCTGTGCCAAAATTGGACAGCCGACGGGGAGTTGCACCCGTTTCTGCACTGTGCTTCCACTTGGACCGGATTGCATTGGGACGCCGACAGCAGATGATCTGTTCACAGTCGGCATTAAATCTTCCAATGCCGTCAAACCGGTGGATGGACGAGAAGGAAGTCCGGCTGCGGCAGCAGCAGCAGCCTGTGGGATGAGAACAACAGAGGTTGAAAGGCTCAAAATACGGACAGAAAATCTACAACTTGGTTGAACGCAGTTTATTGACGTGCTAGAATTGGTAATGGTCTCGTTCATTAATTGACGTGATTCAAAGAGAATTCCGTGCGTTATTTTAAGCAAACCCATAAAAGGAAATGTATCAGAGGGAGAATATCCAAAAATTTCATTGTCATGATTTACAAAGACGAACAGTCGTCGACTGCAGAAAATTGTCGCATCACAGGCGTTTACTATCAGAAACGGAATCGCGAAGACAACTGACTGCTTTATTCACTGACTGTTATGGAAAGCTGAATACTATTCACGTGTTTTATTTATTAGATACGATCTTAGGAGGACCTTACGCTTACCGCGTGGCCATGAGATACCACAACTGAACCGTTTTATAAAGTCCAGATTTAGGACTAAATAATCAACATTGCACACATTCAGATCTCGGATAGCCGTTTGTGAAGTACGCCTCCAGCATGGGGAAGGGTACAGATCAGGTCACAGTGCTCTAAAGAACCGCAACTTTCTCGTTCAATGATGTCAACGAACCAGTCACCAAACAATGCCAATTAGATTGCATCTTCGAACGACNCCCAGTCACCCGGTTATACCACGCCTGACCTAGCGAGACCTCGAGTGGTTCGCTACTACAAGTCCCGGGGATCAGGTTGCCGATTATCATCACTGAACAGCAGGTCTTCGTGACTATGGGGTCCGCCCCGTCTGTTGTTCATCACACACTAGTGTGTGATAAAAAAGAATGAAAAAGAGTACTTTGGATCAACGCTAACGATGGAGCGATCCAAAGCAATTATCATATCCCGGATTCATTTTATCGTGTAACCAACACGATGTTTATTCTTGAGTGAAAAATCAACTCAGTCTGGTCAAGAGGAGAATACTCAAGGTGAAAAACACGAATCATCGTACACAAATCGACATAATCAAGTTGTGAGGGCCATGGTGTGGCACAACGCACTGGATCAAATCGCGGATCATCCTCCTCGTTCGGATCGTACCCACCGCGTCCGCGTCGTCCACCGCCGCCACCTCTTCGACTACCACGATTGCTACGAGGTCCCGCACTCGAAACACCACGCACTGGAGTGCTAGGAACTGCCCCTGGACCATTTATTGTGAGCCCAGAAGTAGATGTGGCCAGGAGGCGATCCAGGGCAGCCTGATAATCTCCCTTACAAATCTTCAAGGTGGATGCGACCAAAGGGACTGGGTAGCCAAGTGAAGAGAGCTTGGCCAATGCCTCGTCAAATGCTTGTGATTTTTCCGCCTGCAATTCCGCGAACCTTTGTAACAAACAAAGTGCAAAAAAGTTACCAAACTTATCGGTAGTATACTGAGTACCGTGTATGAAAGATACGTGGAGAATATTAGTTTCGGAAGAACGGATCGCTCGATTAGCAATAAATTTTAAAAAACGGTATTATTGCCTGTCTTTTCAAGGAGGTAGTCAATAAACAGCACGATACAAATGGTCAAACTCAAAGTCAATGTCAAAGTTTTATTG